TTTTTATATTTAAAATGAGATGCTTATCCTGTATTTGATTATGTTTATCTGYAGTTAGTTACACGAATTTAGATATATAGCTTTAATAAGTTGTACTTACGCACAATCTACTTGTAATCTTGAGTTTTAAGTAATATGCATTAATAAACAGTACTTTACGCATAAAAAATGTTTTTTAAGAGTTTTGGTCAAATGATTTATAATATAGTATAGATTTATCTTTAGATTTTTTGATTTTAGATACTCCATTTTAAATAAAAAAATATTCTAGTATAGCTGTTATATATGCTCCTCTTTTTTTTCATATTTTATAAATTATATATGTACTTATATATGATTATATAAGTTATATGTATATATATGTGTGTATGTGTGTACATAGTGGTTAAATCATGCGTAGACCAAAAAAAGGTTGAAGACCGAAAGAACCAATCTCAATCATCCAAGAGATTTAATCAAAAGCCTTTAAACATTGTGACATTTTGTAATATTTGTGAAAATCACGTCTAATCTCACATTTGATTTGAATGTTCTAGGACAAACTTGTAATTTGAGATCAATTTGAAATTACACGCGTCCGCACATCTAAATTAGAACACTGCCTCTTCCCATCCTTTGTCTTTTCCCTCATACGCCACCATACCAACATTAGAAACAGATCCAGACCAAACCCATCGTCGTCAACCATCTCCATCGCCTAGAAACTTTCTGTCGTCGACAACTGGATCGTCTCCCATATCACTTCCTAGACCAAAACCATCAACGATCTAGAACTCCCACAGTTCGTCTCCGACATTGCATCCAATATTTCTCTGGTCAATTCATCTCACCGGCGTCACATCCACCGATGGATTTCAGACAGTTTTTGCAAACGGATTTGGTCCCTTGATCCTCTCTCTTCATTATATCTCTCTCTCAACCTCTAGATCTCGTTTCTAAGATCTAAACTTCAAAGAATGTTTAGTTTAATGTTTTTGATTTAGTCTAAATTTTTTGATAAAATGAAGTAACAAGAAGTTACGCTTGAGTTGATTTATTTTTAATCTAGGGTTTGTTCATTTTTTTTGTTTGCTACAAGAAATCGATAAGTCAAATTTGTAAAAGATCTGGAAATTTATGTTTTCCCAAATTTTTGTCTGATTTCATGTAACATCCCCCGTCCCCGTGGTCCGAAACGGGCGGTGTCACTGACGGAACTTAATTCAATGACACAAACATCGCAGAGCTACTAATAAACTCCAAACGTAGATTAACTTCTAAAACATGCTTTACAATCCAAAATATTACATTCTAACAACTATTTATTAGCTTAGAATATTATACATCTACCAACGAGTTTACCAACTCCAAAAGTCAAACACTCGATCTCAAGTCCCGTCCCTTATCAGTATCACTTAGAACCTGCCGTATCAGAAAACAAGAACACGGCTGAGCATATGGCTCAGTGAACAGATTGTAATATAAACTTGAAATAATAATACGTAACATCGAAATGAAACGGAAGACTTAAAAATCAATTAAACTGAATTCACAGAAAATCAAGACATTTCACAGTTCTCATTTCAAAACATCATTTAAACACAATCCGTCAATTCCTGTAGTGTTCGTGGGGTGGCCAAACCACACGAACTATCGGGCCGGCGTACGGGCACACACCCCGAGTCCCCCGTGAATTTAACCACGGTCACATGGTGGGTAATCCTAGAATCGATCCATCCGCCCTGGAGCCAATAAAATCAGCCTAGTCCACAAGGTGGGTTCAAGTAAGCCACTATTGGGCCTAACCTTGTGGACCGAGTTCAACTGCAGGACGCCATGACTACAAAGCCGCCATATAAAGCATCTCAAATAATGCGCCCATTAATTGGGTTGTTCTGAAAACCAATAAAAACTAAACACGTGCCACTACCCGGATGGCGTTCATAAAAAAATCAACATTCAAAGTACTTCATAAAACTCGAAACTACTTCAAAATATGAGAATCAACTTAACAAACTTAAAAGATTCAAACATACAATTCAAC